TTATTTAGTGAGTTTTAAACATTAATTAAAGAGGCTCTCTCAAAGGAGAGATAGTGAGTTTTAAAACTGACAAAAAAAAATGCTGATCTTGGTGGAGTCTCGTGCCCATAAAGTTCATAACTTTAGAGTAATGATCCATTACGTCACGTGTGGAACATTTGAAGCCTGTATTTTCAGACAAACCATAAGCGCTTAAAAAAAAAGTGACTGAATTATTTTCGCCTCAAATATACAGTATTTTAATCGCTGCATATGCTTACAGAATCAAGCTTTACATGTTTTTAAGATCAACACGAAAGTGTCGAAGCTGAAGCAGTTGAACCGTGGTGGACATAGTTACAAAAATATTCTTCCAGTAAGAATCTCGATGGGATTTTGTTTTTCTTTTGGGACAACGACCAAAGCAGTTTTGATGCTGTAGTACGAAGTGTAATCCAATGCTTCGTTAGCAAGAAGAGCTTGTTAATTATAATCAAGACAGAGATGTAATCGTTGCTATAACCTTTATAAAACCCATCTTTAATAATAAATACATTAAGTTTGAAATTGAATCTAACATTCACTAAATATGACAAATTGTATAGAATTCACACCTATATGGGAAAATTGAGCCTACGCCTTTTTTTGTTCCTGAAATCATTAGCTCCACGCGAAATAAATAATTATCATTAATTATAACAACAGTGATACAAACAAACAAAAGAAAAAATGACTGGATGTGTCGTTGATCTTGTAGAATAGTCATTTTATCAAGTTATTTTTTCTTACGATTCCTATTCACAACTTTATATCCCATTCTAAGAGGAATAACATATTTTCTTCTCTTCAGAAATCATATGATAAGTTTTTTTCGTTGTACATGATAAAAACTGTATTTTAATTTCGGAAGGCCTTCTTTCAGTGACGAAGGTGAAAATTTCAAAATATCGGATAATTAAACTGACGCAGAAGGAAGAACACTCAAGGAGGTGAATGTCTACAGCAAGGAGGGCAAACAATGATGGTTAATGTTCTAGGATTCATTGTGGATAACGTCGTTCAAACTATCATTTCTGAAGTTCAGAATCTCGTCGTTTTTTTTTGTTTTCAAATTCAACTAACCTTCACTGTTATTTATGCAAACTATGCTACAAACATTCCAGTTACACAAAGAAAGAACAAGTTTAAAAACTTACGAGATTAAAGTGATTATTTAAGAAACCACACAAGAGCAATAGACTAGAATATCATGTAAGAATAATATCGTCGCTTTATCATGATTCCTAAAATATCGTTAATCAAGCTGTTGCGGAAAATTACCTTTCTTATTTCTAGCTCTGGAGCTATATCTAGAAGATCATAGTGTTCTCGCGTCTAACTATGAGACATGTGAAAATAAAACAGATTTAGGACTAGCCTAAATTCCCTAAGCTGGCCGAACCTCGGGAGGTATTATTGGAATTACGACCGAAAATAACGCTAACAGTGAGGGTAATGAAACAATAGATTCTGATACTTAATAACAGTATACTAAGTTAGCTATATTTATTTCTGGGTTAATTTGTAGTTCTGATCTATGTAAGTAGATTGCTTTGTACAGAAGTTAATATCATGTATCTACAATTTCTCGTTTTCTTCACCCCAGCCACAAAAGATATGTAACTACCATATTTTATTGTTCCTACCTTACGAAACTATAACCAGGAAGCTTACAACTTACCATAATGCTTAACTCACACACGGTTGTTGTTTTGACTTCTAGCCTTAAAACTATGTACACCTTACCTAGTTGTTCTTACCTCCACAAAACTTTACACAGGAAGTCTCGTCACAAGCTATACTCTCGGACTAATGAAATGTTTAATTTCAGACAAAAGAAAACTATATTAATGATATGTTGTTTTGCTTAAACTAGCCAAAAACTATACTTCGGAAGTTTTGCTGTTCTTACCCCTAGTTATAAAACTATACATAAGATGTCTTTCTATTCTTAAGCCACAAAATTATACAAACGATACTTTTATATCCTTATAAAGTTATATTGCTTTTATACTTTGCTTAATGTCTGCTCTTAGTGTTTTCTTGTTCTGACACGAGGAAGACAAAATCTTGTCGAAACGTCGTACATTTATAATAAAGTTTTTTCATTACCCAGTCAAGCCTTCTCAAAACTTTTATTTTCTAAAAAGTGGGTTCCTCGTTACCAAGTTTTCTTGTTCTTAGCTGTAGCCACAAAAGTATGTCTAGTTTTGTTATTCGTATTGTTAGGCACAAACATTATATTTAGAGATGCATATTGTTGTTACCTTCAGCTACAAAATTGCACCCGCATTGTCTTTCTTTTCTTTATTCTAGCCATAAAATTATGTCTGTTTGTGTTGTTCTTAATCCTAGCCACAAAATTATCTCTAGTTTTCTTATTCTTACTATTAGCCACAAACATTATGTTTAGAAATGCATGTTGTTCTTAACCCTCAGCTACAAAACTGTATACAATATGTTTTCGTGTTCTTAACCCTAGCTACAAAACTTTATACAATATGTTTTCGTGTTCTTAACCCTAGCTACAAAATTGTCTAGAAATTTTTATTGATATTTTCCTTAACAGCAAAATTGCAATCACGGACCGGACACTTTCTATTTTTACTTGTAGTCTTTAAACAAATTTTACTGTTTTAATCTTAACTCCATGAAATAATATCCAGTAAGTCTTATTTTTATCGTTAGTCAGAAATAATATATCCAGAGGGCGTGCTGTTCTGACCTTATCGGCTGAGTTATAACTATGAAGTCTTGGTATTTTATCATTGGAGATGAAAAATACTCACTGCGTTACTGTTCTTACACCTACTCGCAATGTTGTACTCAAGGTATTTTGGAACTGTTACTCGTACCCATATAACTATTTCATATGTTATATTTATTATATTAACCGGGTTTTGCTGTTGTTGTAAAAATCTACTCAAGGGGCGCTATGGAGTGGAAACTGTTTAAAAATGTAACTAGTTTAACAGGCGGGAAGATAATCTAGTGCACATGTAATGCAATTAGTTGAATATTATTTTAAAAGTAGAAGAGGCATGATGGTTAATATGCATCTCATGTTTTTGTTTTAACCAACAACTGGGTAATCTACCCCAACTTTTTGTGAAAAAGCATTCTACTATTCAGGAAATTTCAAAATATAGGTTAGTTAAACCGACGCAGATGGAATAACACTCAGGGAGGTGTTAAATATTAGGGTTAAATATTCTTAGAAGCAACATAAGGAATATAGAAAAAATTTAAGGGTTAAATATTCTTAAAAGCAACATAAGGAATACAGAAAAAATAAGGGTTAAATATTCTTAGAAGCAGCATAAGGAATATAGAAAAAATAAGGGTTAAATATTCTTAGAAGCAACATAAGGAATATAAAAAACATTTAAGGATTAAATATTCTTAAAGACAACATAAGGAATATAGAAAAAATAAGGGTTAAATATTCTTAAAAGTAACATAAGGAATATAGAACAAAATAAAGGTTAAATATTCTTAGAAGCAACATAGGGAATAAAGAAAAAAAAGTAAGCCAAAATATTCCAGTGAGAATTACCTTTTGTGTTGCAATGTAAAAAAAACGTCAGCCAGTATCAACCTACTAAAAACAATAATATTCTCGTTGGCTGTAGTTTATATATAGTTTTGTTTTTGTAATAAGACATATTACAATTGATTAAGACACGCGTATGAGGAGGTATCAATCTTGTTTCTGTTCCATTAGTTATTCTTAACGTTTTTCGAATATTCTACCATAATTAATTTGATTATTAATATACAGTATGGCTTTTTTGTCACACATTGATTAGTTTGAATTTGTTTCGCACAAATAATTCGAGTAATTACGTAGTACGTACCCCCTAGTCGTGTTTAGAAAACAACTCAGCTTTAATACACCTAAATATCACCATGACTGTAATAGAATGGTTACTATAATCACAGTTACTGTTAGGAATTGTTTGTTTTGAATTTCGCG